GTGGTTTTCATTTCCCCAACACCTGGATGCAGTCAAACACCTGGCCAAATCTGACAAAATCTGACAAGCCTTTGTGATGGGATTTGGAAGAAATTCCCTGCAGATCCTGGCACAGTTTAAAGCTGTCCGCTTTGAGTTAGGACTTGTTAAGGAGGGTTGTGTGAGCTGAAACCCGAGACAACCCTTTTGCTTCTATCTGGAGCCCACATCTTGCCTGGAAATGGGGCATGACCAAGCGAAGGGGTCGCTTGCTGTTTGTATTAAAAGGGGAAAACGGCCTGTGTGCCTGCCAGCGCGGTCCCCACATGCTTTCTCCATTAAAGTCAAGCACAGAAACTTATCAGAAACACATGTCTGCTGTTAATCATCTGGCCCGGGCTCCACTTGGGAGTCTAACTAGCTGTCCCATGGCAGAAGGAATCTGTTGACCTTTTCAGCTTGCTTGAAGAGGGTGCAGAGAGGCAGTTAAAGCTTTGTGTCGCGGGTGCTAGGGGATTCGATGCTGCACCTAAGGATGGATCCCAACATTTGAGGAGGCTTAGGTTTGTGGCTACTCCAGGGAGTTAAGTCGGAGTCGCCCTTACTGCCTCTCAGAAGGCACAAAATAGGGACTGTTTATCTTTAAACGCTTTTTCTTTTCTTTTCTTTCTTTTTGCAGTCCTTTAGCCCCATCAAATGAATTTTTCAAAAATTAGGTCTTTTTAGTTTGTGGAGTGTTGGTGAAAAAGGTTTGGTGGTTTCTGTTTGAAACGTTAATATTATATTTTAAATTCTATTTCTGGGTTCCCAGACTACATGGAATATGAATTTCAAGAGACTCTCCTTTTACAATTTTTGAAATAACCAGTTCTAAGACATAAAAGCCTTCACTCTTTTATTATACTTTCTCCAATAAACTTCCCCAAAGGAAGATATTTTAAGAGCATTTTCAAACATCTTTGGCATCACATAAAAAAGAAATCTCGTGTAAAAAACGAAATGTCATCTCAACTTTTATAATACAAAGGCGCAATCCAATATGAACATATAAAATATATACAAATGCAGTGCATGGTCAGTCACTTAATACAGCTCTCTACAAAAAGTAACTTTTTAGAAATTAAAAAAAGCAACAAAGTAGCCACCAAATTATAAAAGTCTTCTCTCCTAATATCCAAGTTCGTTTTTAGTGTCCGTCGGAAGAGAGAGGTGGGCTAGGAAATTTAGGGTGAGCAATGGCCTGAGCCCCTCAGTTCCGCCACGGCCTCCACATGGAGTCCGCAGTGAGGGAGGAACCGCTGGAAGGAGACACTGCGTTAGGACCAACCGAGGTCCCGCTGTTGCTGGTGTAGACTGGGATGACTGGGCCGCTGTGGGCGAAGGCCCCGTTGGGGATGAGGAAGGCAAATTGGCCGTCAGGA